GCCTTGCCTTTGGATGCCTTTATTTGCACTCGTTGACCTCTGAAAATTACACCAACTTCCAGAACACCCCTGCTCCACCTCAGGAACATATTGAGCAAACTTTTCATTGATGGGCGGTCGGCCACTGCTAGTGGCCGGTCAGCCACCCCTTCCTTGGAATTCTCCTTTTTGCTGCAACAGAGAGCAAACAGAGGCAAAGTAGTGTATTCTCAAGCAATATATGTACTATTACCATCCTTATCATTACACAAGGTCAAAGGAGTGTAATTCTTAGCTCCCAAGCCATCAACCAAGCATTTTCGAATGCATGATGACTAGAGAACCAAGCTTGTACAAGGTCATTGAATGCACAAACAAGACAAAAACAACCACCACCGTATCATGCATGATCAAGGGTGATGGTGACCAAGAAAAGTAGCACGTTTCATCACTTTGAGTATAAAACGTCCCCTTTTTCTTGTGTTCGGATTAACGGCCGATCCGAAATGCAACACAAAGATGCTCACCTTGCCCCTTTTACTTTGTTCATTTTGTTTACTCATTTTACATTACCGATTAGTCCTTTAATCGATTAAGTCCAAGGTGAGTGTCCTTTAATGGAAAGAGGGCTTGAACCACCAGTGCCTTGAGCATGAAAAAGGCCTCATGCCGTTGGTTAGTGGAAACCCTCAAAAGAGGATTAAAACCATTAGGCACAAGTGTCTCAATTTCACACTCAAGCCAATAAAGGGTTCAAAGCTACTTTCAAAATAAATGAAAGAGTGAAGAATAGAAGGAGATGGCAGAGATTTCAATGCTGAAATGGAGTGCAAAATGGCATTAAATCATGCAAGCAACTCATGCAATACATACTAAAAGCCTAAAATATTAAGCTAGTGAAAGAGATTGCACCACAACCACACAATACAAGCCACAAAGGACCAAACCAACCCAAAATAGAGTTAAAACCAGTCAAAATAATGGCTAAAACATGCTGAGATTGAGATACAAAATGCTAGAAAAACATGTTCACATGTTAGCTTGCAAACAAGACTCAAGACACAACTCTCAAAAGCAATGAAAGAGTGAAATAAATGAGCATGTGGCAGAGCCATATACACTGAAACTACATGTAAAATGACACTACAACATGCAAGCAACTCATGCAAATCATGTTTGAAGCCTTAAAATAATGAGCTAGTGAAGACTATTACACTATAGCCATGCAATACAACCCTCAAAGGACTTAACCACTCCAAAACAAAGCTAAAACATGCCAAAGTAGTAGCCAAGACATGCTGAAATTAAGCTAACACAAGCTACAAAAACATGCTACCATGTGATGCTAACTAGGCATGCAAGTGAGACACAAGTAGGGAAGGCTAACCCCTCCATTTTTGGACTTCAAAACATATTTTTCACCACTGAAATAACTCTGAATTTCAGTGGTTTAAAGATCCAAAAAGTTTGATTCTATTATGCTAAAAGATGGTGCAAAAAGCTTCACAATTAGGCAACAAGGGTAGACTATCCCCCAACACAAAATGACTTCAAACCGTCATATTAAGCTTCAAAAATCAGAGTTTTTTATAGCTGAAAACTAGGCCACTAAATATTTAGTCGCAAATAGGTTGGAAAATTAATTAAATAATACATTGTTGCCGACCGATTTTTTTGTTGCCAAAAGCCAATGATTTAGTTGCGGAAAAATTTTTAGCTACTAAATTTTTTGGTCGCCTAAAGCAAATACTAATGTTTTGGCTACTAAAATTTTAGTCGCCTAAAGTCAATCTTTTTTGGCTACTAAAAATTTTTTCGTCTAAACTTCTGCATTTTTGGCTACTAAAAATTTGGTCGCCTAAACTCCCACATTTTTGGCTACTAAATTTTTTGTCGCTAAAAGTATTTTTATTCTTCAACTTTTGTTTTTAACTACGAAATATTTTAGTCGCCAAATGGCTACAAAACTTTTAGTAGCCAAAGGTTTGATTTTCTTTTGGCAACAAAACTTTTAGTAGCCAAAGGTTTGATTTTCTTTTGGCTACAAAACATTTAGTAGCCAAATAGTTGTTTTTCTTTTGCCTACAAAAAATTTAGTAGCCAAATGTTTGATTTTCTTTTGGCTACAAAACTTTTAGTAGCCAAATGATTGTTTTTTTTTTCCCCCTTTTTTTTGTTGCTACAAAGCGTTTAGTCGGCAAAAACATGATATTATGTTTTATTGCAAATATTATAATGTGTCCATAACCTATTTGTATTCCATGCAACCTGTAATACGTATATAAATAAAATGATATATAAACTATCAATCATTCCACAATCTGCATCCGTATACAAAAAATAAATTACTTTAACTGTCCAATTACATACAATCCAACTATTGTCCAAACTAATATAATAATTCCATACAACATATAGAATCATACAAAAAGTAAAGTCCTCTATATACAAAAATTACATTTACTATACCATGTGAAATGACCATTTGGCATGGTACAAATTACCATCGTAATCTGTACCACGACAAAAGGTAATGTATGTACCAAGCCAAAAGTACATCTATGTACCACGACAAAAAATCATATATCTGTACAGCGACAAAAGGTGATCTATCTATCATACCAGTAATTATCTGTTCGCTGCCAAAAGTTTTCTGTATCAGTAATAGTTAACTGCACAAAAGCCGAAGACGACAAAAGTATTATATTACTTCTATACAAAAGTACAATTTATTCTCCATACACCAAAATATCTCTGGAAGTCCACACAACAAAGTCATCTACAAAAAAAAAAAAAATAGAATTGGACCCAAAAATGCCCAACTTCATGAATGAATTTGGCAACAAGTGACAAATAAAAATAAGTGAGAAGCAATCTTCCATAATGAATCAATTATCAGTCATTCTACAGTCTTTCTAAAGTCTTTTGTTATAAGGAACATTGTTAAATGCAGAACAATCATTACTAAATTTTTCATTAGTAACATAAAGCTAATGTAACAATCTTCTATTTGTATGCAACATGTACGTTCAAAAAATTAGCAAGTTTAAAACAATGCGTAAACTGAGTTCATATTGGTTTCTGAATATTTTTCTCATAATTTTCCATTACTATACATCTCCAATACATTCTGTCAGTTGTCACAAGTCTTACAGGTCCGAATAAGTTTCGTGAGAGTCAGACGGAGGTTCGGGGCCTGTTTTGAAGTTTCGCCCCCGAAACGCCATTTTTCGACTAAGTTTTGGATGTATTCGACTCTAAATCCCAACTTACAGGTCCGAATAACATTCAGTCAGTTGTCACAAGTCATATTTGGCATGGGGAAGCTGTTCGTGTCGGCCACACAGCGGTTCAGGGGCTGTTTTGAATTTTCGCCCTCGAAACGCCCTTTTTCGACTAAGTTTTGGGCGTATTCGGCTCTAAATCCCAACCTACGGGTCCAAATAACATTCCGCCAGTTGTCACAAATCATATTTGGCATGGGAAAGTTGTTCATTTCGGCCACACGGCGGTTCAAGGGCTGTTTTGAATTTTTGCCCCCCCCCCCCCCCCAACCACCCCTTCCTTTATTTGTTTTGGGGGTCTGCCGCCCCGCATTATGCTACCGTGTCCGTAATTGCCGGTTCCGGAACCCAAAACATCGTGTTTTGAGCTCCGACTCGCCATTCCCGTCTTCAAAACCTTGCCCGACTTGCATATATTGCCTGTCGGAAGCACATTGACCGTAGGCGAATTCACGGAGCTCCCACCCGAATAGATTAACGGGGGAGAGTTCCATGAATCGGACCTCCGGTGCCCGGGTTTAACGCCCCGGGAGCCTCCGGAGGCCGTTGGGGAGCTCTCGACGGACCCCGAGAGCTCCCCAGAGTGATTGTTACCACCCGAATCGGATTTCTTGAATAACTGATTGGACCCATTTCTACCCGAGACCGATCCAGACGAGCTCGAACTGCTGCTTGTTGTGGTTGTGGTGGAAGCAGTGCTTTGGTGTAGTTAGGTTGGATACGTAGAGCTTGATTGCAATCATCAACCGAACGCTCCCAAAGCCCAAGCTTTTTACCAACAAGCTGCTCTGTTGCAGTAGAGAACGGAGTTTGTTGGGTCAAACCTGAGGCCTTCACCATAGGCAGAGCAGGCTTCAGTAAACCTTTCGGATTTGAAGAGATCATTGCCACGGGCACGAGCTCTCGACACCAGCCTTCTAAGATGTTGGCGAATTTGGGAATATGATTAAATGTTAATTTTTAGCTTTTAATCTGTTTTGTATCATATTATTTCTTTATTTTTTTATACGTTTTTTTCAAAAAAAGCAAAAAAATTAGTTTTTAACCAACTTTTCAAAACAACTATTTGTCTATTGTCTGGGTTGTCTTGAAAAATTGGTTTAAAATTGACTTTTTAACTTTTTTTTGGCTTTTTTTTTTTAAAAAAAAAAATTATAAAAAAAAGTAGAAAGATGATATAATTCAAAATAAGTTAAAAATCAAAAATGGACTTTTAACTATGTTCCCAAATTGGCCCCTAATATGTATTCATAATTATTAATAGGGAAAAGAATCATTAAATCCCTAATTTAAGAATGTTAACCCATTTAATTCCGAAAGTTTTTTATTGGAATAAGTCCTGTTTTATGTGTAAAGACATTAGTACCCATTTATTTACATGTCTAGGTCAGTAATTGAGGGGGTAATTTTGAATTGGTGTTTATGTGTAATTTACCAAATTGCCCAAGAAACTTACTATAGGTCTTTTAATGATTTTCCTTCTGCTCAAACATCAAACATTATTCATTAAACATCAACCATTAGTAACGTCAGGATTATTTATCAAACATCAAGCATTAGCAACGTCAGGATTATTTCTATAATGTTGGTGAAAACATTAACAACGTCATAATTATTCATCCAACATTAAACATTAGCAACGTTAGAATTATTCATCAAATATCAAACATTAAACATTAGGATTATTCATCAAACATCAAACGTTATTCATCAAACATCAAATATTATCCCACATCAAACATTATTCATCCAACATCATATCCATTAATCTAACATCAGATTCATTGATATTTGTGAGTGTTTCAACGTCAGATTTATTTAAAAAAAATTAAAACTATTGTTCGAAATCCATCATCAAATTCATTAGAACATCAGATTGGGTATCTTCGAAATTATATGGTCTAATAAATTGATCCCATCAATTGGGTTCTCTCTCTCTGTCTCAATCAATCAAAAGTCTATGAAGACTTAGACCATCACCACCACTGCGCTGCACTGTTTGTTTGTTTCAGAAATGGCTTCTTCAATCTCCAATGAAGTAACCCACGATTTCTCTATCCTAGGCCTTCGAGTTTACAAAGACGGCCGAGTCGACAGATTCAAAGGCACCGATATAGTCCCTTCCTCAACTAATCCAGAAACTGGAGTCCAATCCAAAGATGTGGTTATCAATCCAGAGACTGGCTTATCTGCAAGGCTCTACATCCCCAGAATTCCCAACCCACACCGTAAACTTCCTCTTCTTGTCTACTTTCATGGCGGTGGCTTCTGCATCGAAACCGCCTTCTCTCCTACATACCATAACTATATCAATTCACTTGTCGCCGAAGCCAACATCGTTGTGGTCTCTGTTGATTACAGAAGAGCCCCCGAGCACCCTCTCCCAACCGCTTACGATGATTCTTGGGCCGCTGTCAAGTGGGTTGCTTCTCACTCGACCGCTAATGGTGGTGAGGTATGGCTAAAGGAGTACGTTGATTTTGATCGGGTTTTCTTTGCTGGAGATAGCGCAGGTGGTAACATAGCACACAACATGGCAATTCGGGTCGGGTCGGATGGGCTGGATGGTGTGAAGATTGTTGGGATGGTTTTAATCCATCCATATTTTGGAGGGAAGGACCCAATTGGATCTGAAGGTGATGGCGCGGCTACTGATAAATTCTGGCTCTTTGTGTATCCATCGTCTAGTGGATCTGATGACCCGTTATTCAACCCGGTTGTGGATCCGAAGTTTTCGAGTGTGGTTTGTGACAAGGTGTTGGTATGTGTAGCTGAGAAAGATTTTTTGAAGGATAGGGGTTGGTATTACAAGGAGGAGTTGGGGAGGAGTGGGTGGGAAGGAGTGGTGGAGATTATGGAGGTTGCAGGGGAGGATCATGTGTTCCACTTGATTAAACCGACTTGTGAAAATGCTGTGGCTCTGCTCAAACGAGTGGCTTGTTTCTTGAACGAGGACAAAGCCTAGTTCTTTGGGTTGTGTATTGTTCTGTTTTTTTTTAATGTAATGTTGTTGCATCTATCAAATGCTCTGCTTTCTTGCAAAATTTGATTAAATAATGTAGTGTTAGGCATCCAAATGTTTTATGAATATTTTTATCAATCTTACATGTTTGTGAGTCCTACATTTATGTAAGACATCTAAGTAAAATGTTAGTAAAATATTTGTGATTTCTAGTATTTTCCAATAATGAATAAATCAATTTGCAATTCTTTTACTGCATTATATGCTAGTATGGGTGGGAGTTCGATCGTGTTCATGTCGTGTTATTTCGGATTTATGTTAGAATTATTTCAATACTAACTCGACTCATTTATTATTTTGTATTATTGTGTCATATCATTTTTGGTCTATATTCAATTCTTGTCATATCAGCAAATTTCACTATAAACTAAAAATATAAATTTTTTAAAAAAAATTGAAAATTTCTTCGCAAGTTAAATTTAATGAAACTAATCTTTTATAACAATATTAGATTTCAAGTTAATTTGATTTTCTTAATTTTTAAAATTATATTTTATTATTATATTTTTTACTAGATTAATAGACAACAATACATTAAAAGTTCAATTAAAAGCAAAAATAAAATCTATATTCAACTTAAAATTGTATTTTATATACTTTTTAATAAATTAGATGTAATTACATAAGAGATTAAAAAATATCATAATATTCTTTAATGCAAATAATATTAAAATGTGTAACTAATTTTTCATTATACGAGTTATTCGTGTCAATTTCGTGTTATACATATTTAATACTAACTCGACTTATTTAATATTCGTGTTATCGAATCGTTTTATATACATATTCATGTCAGGAAACAGTCAATTCTAATCCATTAATTTCATATACAATTTGAATCGTATTATCGTGTCGCATCGCAAATTTCCGCTCTCATAAGTGATTATTATGACATAATTGTTTTGGAGAT